GTCCACGGGTGGAATGCGCTCGCGGAGAAGGGAAACGTTGTCCACCGGACAGGTCTGAGTTCTGAACGATGTAGCCTAGCCTTCAGTACGACCAACACAGTCTCCGCGGCGAACTCTTTTTGTTTTCAGAGGCACATTGCTGTCAGCCGAAAACCATGCGATTTCAGCTGATCCGGTTTAGGGCAGACCGGAAAATTTTCCGCCAGACAGACACTCTGGTCAATCATTCTGGCCGGGGATTTCAATCTAGTGATAGACAAGAAAGATTTAATTGTTCAAAACGATAGAGAAGAAATACGAATGGCAGAGGACAGAGAACAAATCCAGTCATTAAACAAAATAATAGAGCAGTTTAATCAAGTAGACACATTTAGGAAGCTACACCCACATAAGATAGAGACAACATACTGTAGCCCGTCAGGGAAAAGTTACTCAAGATTGGACAGAGTATATGTCAACACAAACAACACAATTAGGAAAGTAGTACACCTGAAAAGAACTTTACAGTACACAGATCACAAGGCGACACTGGTGATGTTAAACTCACCAGTTAGCACACGTCAACGCAACACATACTGGAAACTAAACAACGCCCTTTTAACAGAACCTATATACATCGCAAATATAAAGGAAACGATAGCAAGATTCATAACCACTCAACCAAGCACTAATTTCATAGATCTTTGGGAAACTTTCAAAATTGAAGTCAAGGAAATATCCATTAGAATTGGAACATATTTGAAGAGCGAGAGACAGAATAAAGAGAAAGAATGTTTAGAGACCCTGCACATACTAAAATCATTCCATGCTGGTGAAGATGTAGTGGCAAAGTACGAAGACGAACTGGAAGAAATTAGGAAATATAAATACAAGGGAGCCTTAGTGAGGAGTAGGTTGGACATAGCAGGAACAGAAGACCCGACACACCACAACATAATACTCGAACAAATCACTCAGAAAAACAAAAACATTCAGTGTATCGTGGACAGGGTCGGCCAGGAGACTACAGACGAAGGTAAAATCACTCAGGCGTTTCATCAATACTACACGCAGCTGTACAGGAAAGAGCAAACAAGGGGAGACAAGGAAGACGAGTACCTGTGTAACGCACGCCGCCTAGACGACACGGACAGAGAAAAACTGGATGAACCTATCACAATAAAGGACATCGAAGAAACAATACGACAGTTAAAAGGCAACAAATCCCCTGGACCCGACGGACTAACGGCAGAATTCTACAAGGCTTTCACTGCAGAAATAGGGCAACTTTTGTTAAACACGTTCAACGACATGACAGACAAGAAAACGTGCCACGAAAACTTCAACAGATCGTTCATCACCTTAATCCACAAGCCAAACACTGACGAAAAACAGATGAAAAACTACAGACCTATATCGTTACTCAATACAGACTACAAGATTTTAACAAAAACGTTAGTCAGAAAGTTAGAGCCTTATCTCCACAAAATAGTGCACACAGACCAGCAATGCAGCATCGCAGGAAGGAACATCTTAAACCATACGCACTACATTAGGGACCTCATCCAATATACTCATGAAAAAGAAGCACAAGCCTTTTTACTGAGCCTTGACCAAGAAAAGGCTTTTGATAGAGTGTCTCACAGCTTTTTACTTAAAATAATAGAAGCCAATAATCTGGGGAATTACATATGCACATGGATCGACATTATTTATAGAAATGCAGTTAGTCACCTTCAAATCAACAGATGCATCACAAGACCGTTCCAGATTCAAAAATCTGTCCGACAAGGCTGCCCTTTGTCTCCTGTGTTATATATATTGACATTAGAACCCCTTTTGGAAAAAATTAGACTCGACACACAGATTAAAGGAATTGACTGTCCAAACACGCAGAACAGAAAACTTTTTGCTTACGCTGACGACACGACATTTAGCCTACAGACAGAAAAATCTCTAATAGCAGTAATCAACCACTTCCAAGATTTCGGACAAGCAAGCGGCACGAAAATAAATTTAGACAAGACGCAAATCATGGGCTTAGGACGATGGAAGGAGAAGCAAACTTACCCTTTGAACTTGAAAGCGACTGACAGACTGAAAATTTACGGAATAATTTTTGAGAACGATCCCCATAGAAAACACGAGGAAACTTGGGAAAAGATGACTGACAAAATCAGTAGCAAACTAAACAAATATAAAAATAGCGCAACTACCATCTTCGGACGAGCGGCCATCGTTAACAGATACATAACACCCAAGTTGATATATGTAGCCACAACATCAACCGTCCCTAAAGGCACCATTCAAGGAATCAATCAAAAAATCAGAGAATTCATTTTTAAGAACACAGTCAGAACCATTAACCACTGCACGTTAATTCAAAATAAATTACAAGGAGGGATAAACCTGCATGATATTCAAACCAAAATCAACTCTCTTAGAATAAAACACGTCGGCAGAATAGTCAGCGACCCCCCAAATCATCCGCTAGCACATTACTATTTAGGACTTAGACTGAACAAAATACTCAAACATAATAATAGCACGCCGCATTTTGGAGGAGAGAAATTAAGCGCTTTCTACATTGAATGTCTAACCAGCCTGAAAGGGAACGAAAAATTCATACACGAAAACACACGGAAGACCTACTCACATCTGATAAAGAAACTAGCCACTCCACTACATAACAGAATCCAATGGTGCAAAATATACAGCGATATAGACACAACAGAGACTTTTAGAAATCTTCATAGGAAATCCATCACACCCAAAGCGAGGGAGATCACATACAGACTAATATTCAATTTGACTCCGATCTACCAAATTATGCCAGCTAACAAGAAGAGAAACACAGGTTGTGTACTGTGTGGACAAGATATCAGAGAGACAGAAACCCATTTATTTCTAACATGCCCTACAATACAGATGGCGAAACGGGCGCTAGAAGAAGAAATCAAGGTAGATAATAAAGCCCTGACTATCGACGGGGCGATAACTCTAAACAAAGTACCCAAAAAGCCCGTGGCTGAAGAGAGAGACAAAAACATTTATGCCTTAGCGACATACAGACAGACTATCTGGCAAGCAAGAAACAAGGCGAAGTATGACAAGAAAAGATTTACCAACAAAACACTAAAGACAATTTTTTGTGAGAGTATGAACAAATATGTGTGAATGTTGAAGTCCACGTTTTTGTTGAAATGTATGCAACTGATGTCCTTGTATAACAAATATGTGTACAATGTTATGCTGATGTTGATGTAAATATTTTCAGAAATAAACTTTTATAAAAAAAAAAAAAAAAAAAAAAAAAAAAAAAAAAAAAAAAAAAAAACTAAAGATTTCCGTGGAGAGGAGCATTATAATGAGTCTTAGAAGACTATTTTTCACGCCCTACGCTGTAGGGTGAATATTTCCAATGTAAACATGAGTGGGTGACTACATCATTTGTTTTTTTTAACCCTGGGATAGAAAATGAACCCTGCCGTTGGGAGGTTTCGTTTCCTTTGGCACGTTTTTCCGTGGCCTTGGACGGAACCGGACAACTCTTGTCCGATGGCCATGCATAATTAGTGAGTACATAAATCAAAAAAGATTTCAAATACGTCTAGGTTCAGTGCCGAAGAACCAAATCAAAACCAACTACTGTTCTGTCTAGACTTTATTATTATTATTTATTTATTTTTAAACAACTCACTCGTTTCGATTCCAACAAACAACAGTTCAGACTGCTGGCAGAACAACAGTCGGTCACGCCTCTCAAAGCAATGGCGTCATTTTATTTTTTGTTAGTTGGGTGACGTGTACTTCCCCTAACAGTTTAGTCTCAAGAAAGCTAGGCGGCCCGCCATCGCATAATTTCAAAGGTACATGGGAGCTAAGTTGGATTGGTATTAAAGGGAGACAATCTTCTGTCATCGTCGGATTGGTTTGTAAGCGTTTGTCCACGGGTGGAATGCGCTCGCGGAGAAGGGAAACGTTGTCCACCGGACAGGTCTGAGTTCTGAACGATGTAGCCTAGCCTTCAGTACGACCAACACAGTCTCCGCGGCGAACTCTTTTTGTTTTCAGAGGCACATTGCTGTCAGCCGAAAACCATGCGATTCCAGCTGATCCGGTTTAGGGCAGACCGGAAAATTTTCCCCCAGACAGACACTCTGGTTTCTCTTCACATCGAGTAAATCTTTCGCCTTTTACTAAAGATTTCCGTGGAGAGGAGCATTATAATGAGTCTTAGAAGACTATTTTTCACGCCCTACGCTGTAGGGTGAATATTTCCAATGTAAACATGAGTGGGTGACTACATCATTTGTTTTTTTTAACCCTGGGATAGAAAATGAACCCTGCCGTTGGGAGGTTTCGTTTCCTTTGGCACGTTTTTCCGTGGCCTTGGACGGAACCGGACAACTCTTGTCCGATGGCCATGCATAATTAGTGAGTACATAAATCAAAAAAGATTTCAAATACGTCTAGGTTCAGTGCCGAAGAACCAAATCAAAACCAACTACTGTTCTGTCTAGACTTTATTATTATTATTATTATTTTTTTTAAACAACTCACTCGTTTCGATTCCAACAAACAACAGTTCAGACTGCTGGCAGAACGACAACAGTCGGTCACGCGCCTCAAAGCAATGGCGTCATTTTATTTTTTGTTAGTTGGGTGACGTGTACTTCCCCTAACAGTTTAGTCTCAAGAAAGCTAGGCGGCCCGCCATCGCATAATTTCAAAGGTACATGGGAGCTAAGTTGGATTGGTATTAAAGGGAGACAATCTTCTGTCATCGTCGGATTGGTTTGTAAGCGTTTGTCCACGGGTGGAATGCGCTCGCGGAGAAGGGAAACGTTGTCCACCGGACAGGTCTGAGTTCTGAACGATGTAGCCTAGCCTTCAGTACGACCAACACAGTCTCCGCGGCGAACTCTTTTTGTTTTCAGAGGCACATTGCTGTCAGCCGAAAACCATGCGATTCCAGCTGATCCGGTTTAGGGCAGACCGGAAAATTTTCCCCCAGACAGACACTCTGGTTTCTCTTCACATCGAGTAAATCTTTCGCCTTTTACTAAAGATTTCCGTGGAAATTAGAGAGCTAAAATATCTAGACAGACTAGGTTCCAGATAATTTAGATATTGATACCTAGTCAAGTTTTAAGGAAGATAAAAACTTGTAATTAGATTAGATCAAAATGTCTAGGAGACCTGCAGGAGTAGCAGCTATTAAAAATAAAAATCTTGCCCAGGCTAAGTACAAAGATAAAGGTACTGAAATTGCTGAGAGTCAGTTTGCACAGATGGGAAAACAAATGGAAATGTTTAAACATAATCTTGAAGACTTTGCATCAAAACACAGAGAAGACATCAGAAAAGATCCAGAGTTTAGGCTGCAGTTTCAAGAGATGTGTGCCTCGATAGGCGTGGATCCATTAGCTTCAAGCAAAGGCTTCTGGGCTGAAATGCTGGGGGTAGGAGATTTTTACTATGAATTGGGAATTCAAATTGTTGAAGTTTGTATGGCAACGAGTAAAAGAAATGGAGGTTTAATTGGAATTGAAGAATTAAGGAGAAAAGTAGAAGCATCCAGGGGACGGAACTCACAAGCAATTAGCATAGATGACTTGTTGAGGTCAATCAAAAAACTGAAAATTCTGGGCAATGGGTTTTGTGTGCACAGAGTAGGAGAGAGTTATCTTGTCCAGTCCATTCCAGGGGAGTTAACTCTTGATCACACTATAGTTCTACAGCATGCACAGGAAAATGGTCATGTAACACAGTCAGGTCTTATCAAATCTTTACAATGGGAAAAAGAAAGAGCTAAACGAGCATTGGACTTCATGGTCACTGAAGGTCTGGCCTGGGTTGATGATCAAAGTGGAAGTGAGCGTTCATTTTGGTTTCCTAGTCTCATCCCAGATTTTTCCACTTCAGTCAGTTGATTAAACATTCAAACTTGTTCATACATTTTTTAAATGTACTTTGTGTCTGCTGAAACGTCTTTAAATTATTTAGGGTTGTCTATTTAAAAAAAAATTGGAGTTATACAAATATTTTGTCTTACTAGAACAAGAACATAATGTCTTTACATAGTTCCTTATTTTACCAATCTTTTGTTTTAAGTTCTCTTAAGACAAGCAAAACATTTCAACATTTCATCTTACGTATAACATAATAATTGAGTCTTTCAATCATAATACAGGAATGTATTATGTATTATATAATAATTATTGGTGAATTAATACAATACCTTTGTTCTTGTTTAATTTTCTTTTCTACTGTTAAATGTTGTTTGAATGACTGTTGCAGTCACTGTTAGTAGTGTTAGAATTGGCTGTTATGTTTTCCTTTGTTCCATTTTTTGTAATTTTTTTTAATGAGAATCTGTCATTTGATAATATAATTATAATTGATTTACGAAGTGAACAAGAATTTAGTATGAAAATATATTTTCTCTAAAAATCAAAAATCTGCATGCTATTGCTATTTAAAATTACCATATACTTTAAATTATGGGATACAAAATGTCAATTGTAAAAACAAAATATAGCCAGTAATTAATTGAAATCTAAAGCAAACCAGTGGTTTTAACATAGTTTTGTCACCATACTGTTTTGTTGTAAATTATTTCGTAATGCAACTATGATTCGCAAACTGTTTTTGTAAATGTATTTACTAGTAAATATCTGGTCATTAAAAAATAAGATGAAAATGTAATAAAGATCTTGTTGAGATAGGCTATTTAAATTGTCAATTTAAACTTTATACAAAAAAGTTGACTGTTTTTGTTAATTGCTAGGAAAATTGATATGAAAATTGGCACTCATATTACTTATATTATATAGTTTCATTGACCATTCTGTAATAAGATATATTAATTAGAACAATATATTTGTTTTCTCCTGTAAAAAAAAAATCTGGAATATTTCTGTTAATAAATAATAAACATTTAAAAAAAAAAAAAAAAAAAAAAAAAAAAAAAAAAAAAAAAAAAAAAAAAAAAAAAACTAAAGATTTCCGTGGAGAGGAGCATTATAATGAGTCTTAGAAGACTATTTTTCACGCCCTACGCTGTAGGGTGAATATTTCCAATGTAAACATGAGTGGGTGACTACATCATTTGTTTTTTTTAACCCTGGGATAGAAAATGAACCCTGCCGTTGGGAGGTTTCGTTTCCTTTGGCACGTTTTTCCGTGGCCTTGGACGGAACCGGACAACTCTTGTCCGATGGCCATGCATAATTAGTGAGTACATAAATCAAAAAAGATTTCAAATACGTCTAGGTTCAGTGCCGAATAACCAAATGAAAACCAACTACTGTTCTGTCTAGACTTTATTATTATTTTTTTTTTTTAAACAACTCACTCGTTTCGATTCCAACAAACAACAGTTCAGACTGCTGGCAGAACGACAACAGTCGGTCACGCGCCTCAAAGCAATGCTTCATTTTATTTTTTGTTAGTTGGGTGACGTGTACTTCCCCTAACAGTTTAGTCTCAAGAAAGCTAGGCGGCCCGCCATCGCATAATTTCAAAGGTACATGGGAGCTAAGTTGGATTGGTATTAAAGGGAGACAATCTTCTGTCATCGTCGGATTGGTTTGTAAGCGTTTGTCCACGGGTGGAATGCGCTCGCGGAGAAGGGAAACGTTGTCCACCGGACAGGTCTGAGTTCTGAACGATGTAGCCTAGCCTTCAGTACGACCAACACAGTCTCCGCGGCGAACTCTTTTTGTTTTCAGAGGCACATTGCTGTCAGCCGAAAACCATGCGATTTCAGCTGATCCGGTTTAGGGCAGACCGGAAAATTTTCCGCCAGACAGACACTCTGGTTTCTCTTCACATCGAGTAAATCTTTCGCCTTTTACTAAAGATTTCCGTGGAGAGGAGCATTATAATGAGTCTTAGAAGACTATTTTTCACGCCCTACGCTGTAGGGTGAATATTTCCAATGTAAACATGAGTGGGTGACTACATCATTTGTTTTTTTTAACCCTGGGATAGAAAATGAACCCTGCCGTTGGGAGGTTTCGTTTCCTTTGGCACGTTTTTCCGTGGCCTTGGACGGAACCGGACAACTCTTGTCCGATGGCCATGCATAATTAGTGAGTACATAAATCAAAAAAGATTTCAAATACGTCTAGGTTCAGTGCCGAAGAACCAAATCAAAACCAACTACTGTTCTGTCTAGACTTTATTATTATTATTTTTTTTTTTTAAACAACTCACTCGTTTCGATTCCAACAAACAACAGTTCAGACTGCTGGCAGAACGACAACAGTCGGTCACGCGCCTCAAAGCAATGGCGTCATTTTATTTTTTGTTAGTTGGGTGACGTGTACTTCCCCTAACAGTTTAGTCTCAAGAAAGCTAGGCGGCCCGCCATCGCATAATTTCAAAGGTACATGGGAGCTAAGTTGGATTGGTATTAAAGGGAGACAATCTTCTGTCATCGTCGGATTGGTTTGTAAGCGTTTGTCCACGGGTGGAATGCGCTCGCGGAGAAGGGAAACGTTGTCCACCGGACAGGTCTGAGTTCTGAACGATGTAGCCTAGCCTTCAGTACGACCAACACAGTCTCCGCGGCGAACTCTTTTTGTTTTCAGAGGCACATTGCTGTCAGCCGAAAACCATGCGATTTCAGCTGATCCGGTTTAGGGCAGACCGGAAAATTTTCCGCCAGACAGACACTCTGGTTTCTCTTCACATCGAGTAAATCTTTCGCCTTTTACTGAACGTGACCTAGTTTCAAGATTTGTGTTCATTTATATTTCGTGGACTGTGTTCTGTGTTTTAACTGTGACACATTTCAAACACCACAGTGTGTATGTCATCAACCATTAAACTTACCATCCCTGGCCTACCCACCAGCCTACACCTTCCAAGAACTTTAAAAGTTGAAATAAAGTTCAGAGCCGGAAGCACCATCCACGTGGATGATAGAGTTATCGAAATTGTAACTCAGGCTGTCACCAAAATAAACCCTGATGAGATTTTAAAAGTCTACAATCTAGGACGGCCCACAGAGTGGTACGTCACCCTTAAAAGTCAGGAAGTGTACACCACTCTCCACATGCGGGAATTCACCACCAATGACTACGGCATAACACAAGTGGTGTTTACCCACGTGGACAAGCCTGTGTTGTACGGTGAACTCCACTGGGTACCACCGACGTTTACCGAAGACACGGTTACAAAAATAGTAGAAAATTTCGTCATCCCCAACACCCAGATTACTGTTAAACCTCTCAGAAAAGGAGATAGATGGGCGGTAATCATCAACTCTAAGATGCCGGTTGAGAAACTACCCCATTATCTTGAAGTGGTAATGGGAGATCTTACCCACACCATGTTGCTTCTGTTTAGAGGCAGAAGGCAAAACTGCCATCTATGCCACACCAGCAGACATCACCCAGGCCAATGCAGAAGAGAAGATATCAGATCAAGGGATGACATCATCTTGACGGACGACAAAAAATACGTTGATGGGAAAGCTGTAGAGGAGGTGAGAATGATGGACAGACAAGATTCGACCGAAGAAGATCCCCTTAAGCCTACCACCTCATATGCGACCGCAGTAACCAAGACAACACCCATGACACATACAACAGAAGACACGACAACGCCATTGACACAAGAAACACCCACGGCATCACTGAGTCAAACAACGGATAACGCTAAACACACCGGCCAGTTCGCTGCGTTCATGCAAGGGAAAGCAGCCCTAACCATGAACCCCAAGGACCACTCAGCCAGGCCAAAACACACATCAGCTGATGACAAGGTGAAGACAGGCAAGCGACCCAGCGGTGACTCACCAAAACAACACACGGGGAAAAAACCGACCACTAGATAGATACATGCGACCTTACACCAACAAGAATGGCTAGTTCAACGAATAAAACTAATATAGGACAACTCACAATGATAACCATCAACATCAAGGGGGCAAAAAAGAAAGCTGATCTAATAATATCACTCATAAACACCTTCAAAACAGACTACATCCTTCTACAAGAAACTAATTTTAAAAATAAGTATAAGGCAGATAAATTTATAAGTAGCTTAGGCTTAGAAACAACTGAAGCATACCATAGTTTAGGAGAGAACTGCAAGGGAACGTCAATAATTAAAACATCAGACAAATACAAGACATTGCAAACATACACCGACGAGAATGGAAGACTGGTGATTATAACAGTCGGGGACAACAGCACGCAGTTCACCATTGTCAACATATACGCCCCCGTGGTCAAATTAGAACAAAGGCTCTACTACAAGCATTTGAAACGTACCCTGAAAAAAGAGTACAAGGACAAGCCAATCATTCTGGCTGGGGATTTTAATCTAGTGATAGACAAGAAAGACTTGATAGTTCAAAACGATAGAGAAGAAATACGAATGGCAGAGGACAGAGAACAAATCCAGTCATTAAACAAAATAATAGAGCAGTTCAATCTAGTAGACACATTTAGGAAGCTACACCCACATAAGATAGAGACAACATACTGTAGCCCGTCAGGGAAAAGTTACTCAAGATTGGACAGAGTATATGTCAACACAAACAACACAATTAGGAAAGTAGTACACCTGAAAAGAACTTTACAGTACACAGATCACAAGGCGACACTGGTGATGTTAAACTCACCAGTTAGCACACGTCAACGCAACACATACTGGAAACTAAACAACGCCCTTTTAACAGAACCTATATACATCGCAAATATAAAGGAAACGATAGCAAGATTCATAACCACTCAACCAAGCACTAATTTCATAGATCTTTGGGAAACTTTCAAAATTGAAGTCAAGGAAATATCCATTAGAATTGGAACATATTTGAAGAGCGAGAGACAGAATAAAGAGAAAGAATGTTTAGAGACCCTGCACATACTAAAATCATTCCATGCTGGTGAAGATGTAGTGGCAAAGTACGAAGACGAACTGGAAGAAATTAGGAAATATAAATACAAGGGAGCCTTAGTGAGGAGTAGGTTGGACATAGCAGGAACAGAAGACCCGACACACCACAACATAATACTCGAACAAATCACTCAGAAAAACAAAAACATTCAGTGTATCGTGGACAGGGACGGCCAGGAGACTACAGACGAAAGCAAAATCACTCAGGCGTTTCACCAATACTACACGAAGCTGTACAGGAAAGAGCAAACAAGGGGAGACAAGGAAGACGAGTACCTGTGTAACGCACGCCGCCTAGACGACACGGACAGAGAAAAACTGGATGAACCTATCACAATAAAGGACATCGAAGAAACAATACGACAGTTAAAAGACAACAAATCCCCTGGACCCGACGGATTAACGGCAGAATTTTACAAGTCTTTCACTGCAGAAATAGGGCAACTTTTGTTAAACACGTTCAACGACATGACAGACAAGAAAATGTGCCACGAAAACTTCAACAGATCGTTCATCACCCTAATCCACAAGCCAA